TATTTGTAATTTTTGAAAACACAAATATTATAATTATTAACTTAAAGGGAAAAAAGGAATGAGCAGATTATTAGGTACTAAAACAATATGGAACAATATAACCTAATATCTCCTATCTCTCTCTCTCTCTCTCACACACACACACACACACACACACACACACACATACACACATACCAACAAAATATATAACACAATGCAAAATTATACAAAGATTGAAACTCATTACGCTTGTTGTTACAACATTTCCTATCAGGAGCTCCAAACTTTATAACGAACTGAATTTTTGAAACCTTGTGCTTATTACACTATTTTTTAACATAATGTATTCGACTTCCTGATGATCACTGAAAGCCTAGCTGATATTAGTGCTCAAAAACCTAGTTAAATGAGTTTAATGAAGAAAATCAGTTTAATAGCGTAAGTGAGAAGAGACGTGCATTAGCAATTTTAAAGACATTTAATTGGTCGAATCATCATGATTCAATTGGTACTGTAAAAGTTCTCATATCAAAACGTGAATACTTAAATCTAATCTAATTAACAAAATTTTTTTATTATACTACTTATACAGCAATTAAAAGGCTAGCAGAATACAAAATTTATTTCAAACACCAGTTTCTTTGAGAACGATTCCAATATTTGTGTTCCAGTCGTAAACCATCATGTCTTTGTTAGTTAAGCTAGTCAAAAGTATACGTTCGATAGTACACGGTCCATCTGCAAATATAACGAATTACATTTTAAAAGTATACATTTTAAAATGTTATTTTATTATATTAGTTTTTCTAAGAAAGTATTTTCTAAGAAATTATGTAAAACAAATTAAATAAAAAAAATTAAAAATACATAATTTGTGAAAAAGTAACGCAGAGGAAAATATAAATCACGAATTTAATTATGTAAAATAACATATATTTTTAGTTATTTTAAAACAAATTTTAAATGTATATGGTCTGATTTCGAGTAATGTACATATACCGTGAATCGTGATTAATATGAGCAGAGTGTTATTTATAATAGAGGAAAGTCGCCGCGGATACTGACATAGGTCTCCTAAAGTGACACCCCTTATTTTTCGGAAACTAACTATTGCGCTTTAATACTAATAAAATCATGATCTGTTTAGCTAATTAAATAAATACAAACTCATAATTTGTAGATTTGTGGCTTGTTTCTACATCAAATAAGCTAAAAACGAATTCTACAAATGCGAAAATAAAATTCTTACGATTTTCTTTCGCAAATTGTGAGGTTTAAATCATAGTGACTATATTATTGATAATATTACGTCATTTTAAATACTTGTGGTTTCCGAAATAAGTTTTATTTATATTATTTTTTCTCTTAGTCTTTTCATAATACGATTTTTAATTTAAAATTGTGTTCCACTGTAAACCGACACACCTGTCCGTAAAACAGACCACTTAATTTTCTGATATTACATTTTTAATATATTTATACATTATTCATACACTGAAAAGTATGTTTGTGTACATGTACATGAAATTTAATGACACGTTCATCACATTTAAGTAACTCTCTCTCTACTGTAATCTAATTTTTAGTTAAATCATTCATTACTTTTAATTTCGTTCATAACTACGAGATTCATTTACTTCATGTAAAGGAAGCTCTTGGTTACATTTCTAACAGTATAGACATTCTCTAATGTTTCTGAACCCTAAGTGGTTCTTCGTGCCTTAGAAATACCCTCCTTGCTCCAAGCGACTTTTATCTGTTCACAAATTTGAAGCTCTATTTAGACGGCTAGCGTTTAATATTGATGAGGAAGTTAAAACGACGGTTAATAGGTAACTCATACGTGAAAATTTGCATGCCGTGATACAATAATTTTTTCATGATATAATAAACGCATAAAAAGACATATTATTTTTATAAGAAAATAATCAAATTGTGTAATGAGTTATAATAAATTTTTTTAGATCTTTAATCTTTGTTTTTCTGTTTTTCCTAAAATGAGGAAACCTTCTTTTGGACTCTCGTAAAAGTATAATATTTAAAAAATATTAAAAATAAATATAAGCACCGAATTAAAGAACTGTGGCAATTAAATGATTAGTACTTGCTGCAAAAAATCCAAATCATAAACTTAGAGAAGATTTATGTTATATGTTGAATTATCAAAGATAGGAATGTATCTCTTCTTAAAACTTACCTAGTTGATACCATTCCGTATTCCCTGCATCCGCTCTAGCGGAATTCAATGCGTAGCGAAACGCTATTGGAATCACGTAACTCATACAAAGCGATGATTCTTCGATTGCTACAAATATATTTTCGGTATTAATCAAATACGTCAATCGTTTAATGTTCCTGATTTCAATATTCTAAACCGAAATTCTCTTTTCACTTTTATTAAAATTTTTATTATTTTTCTTAACAAATTAAATGATTTATTGAAACGAGCGCTTGTAAATCGATTAAATTGATAAAATGATTTTTATGGACTTGAAAATTTTTCTAAAAGAATTTCTACGAACTTTTTAATTAGGCAAAAATTTTTTAAAATTTATTACTTTTGCAATATAAAAAATAAAGTCTTGAATCATAATCAAATTTCAACAAAAGTGTTTGAATCTTACATTTCGAATGGTAGATACCGTTTGCATCGAACAATTTACTGCGTAAGTATACGCGGAAATCTTCAGGAATATCCTTCGCTCCTGGTGACTTATAATTCTATGAAAATAATAAAATACTTTAGATAATTTAATTATGTAGTTTTAGGACAATCTCGGCGAATTGAAGTAGTAGAGTCTTGCTGTAATATTAGGTGTGCCAAAATTTGATAAAGTCTGATAAACGTACCCATAATCTGTTATTCGTTAATACTCCTGTATCAGGACTATAGATCAGATCCTCAGAAGTCCAGTATCCTATTCCCATCACGAAAGCTCCCTCCACTTGACCGATGTCGATTTCGGGATTTAAGCTTACACCACCATCAATCATCAAATCGACCCTTCTGATAACGTGCTGACCGGTCAGTACATCGATCTCTACTACGGCAGTAGTGACACCGTAAATATCTTCTGTTGGCCCATTTACCAACCTGCCAAGGTATACATATAAACGAAATGTATTACATAATAATTAATAATTTGTGTAGCATCTCTTACGACATAAATTTAAAGTTTAAATTTATTTATTTATGAAAATCTTTCCAAAAGCATATGATAAATACGTTTAATAATAATTATAGGAAGTGCAAATGGAATATTTAAACTGCGTTTTTTTACAATGTACATCTATACTAAAAATGAGACTTAAGTTTCTTCCTAACAATATTTTCGGAAACATTTTAAAGTGCTTTATGATATAGTGTAACATAATATATCACTGTCAAATAGGATTTAGTGACATTTACATGTAACTTGCGCATAAATCAATGCCTTGTTCATACGCTGTAAAAATGAGTTCCTTCCATGTCGGATTTTTCATTTTTTTTCTTATCGGCTCGAGTCTAGACAAAATCTGTGTGCAAGCGTGGATCGTTGCCTGAAAAAAATAGTCGATATCATCGTCAAGAGTTACGTTATGTATACAGGGTGAGAGAAAAGTCCTGGACTGACGAACTATCTCGAAAATAAAGAATTTTTCGGAAAAATGATACAGACAAAAATTGTAGAATTCAAAACGGTCTATTTATTGATCACATCTGTTTGACCTTGGATGGCATCGCCAAGGTCAGGTTAAAGTCTACATACAAGGATCTTTATTAAAGTATTTTAAAATGCTCTTGACATCAGCTATTAAATTCTGGAATCAAAAATAGTGTCCCGTTTAAAAAAATCGGTTTGGCCTTGATCTGACTTTAGCAACATCACTTAAGATCAAACAGATATGATAAGTTGTTAGATCTTTTTAAACTCTACAACTTTTATCTGAATTATTTTCCCCAAAAATGCTTTGTTTTCAATATTTACCGATCCGGGATTTCTTATTCACCATTATCTGTTACGTTATGTATATATGACACTGTCTTTCACAGTGATGGAGATGAATTGAATTCTTACGTTTCCGCAGTTTTCTACGGTAATGCTGTGTCCTGTAGTTGACTTGTTGGGTGAAGCTAAATTATTGCTTCCTTTAACAGAAACTATTTCGATATCGACACACAGTACATTAGCTGCTATTTGTGCGATCTAGCGTACAAAAATTATTTTTAAATTGACAGAAATGTAAATCGTCTTACATACTAAATCGAACTTTTTCTAATTTCAATAAATTTATGAGATAATTAATCAGTATTCAAAATCCACAAAATATGTAACATGAATAAAAAGTGATAAAAATCGAGAAATAACAAATAACAAAAAAAGTTTTTGATTCTAATTTTCTAAAATAGTAACACAAATTTAAAAAATAGAATTTTCAAACATAATTTTCCATTAACTTATTGATAGTTAGATGAAAAGCATGATAGAACTTACTTGAATAAACCATTGCATTTTCATACCTTTGTATTTATACCTTGATCGATTTCAATTCCGCTATGAGTCACGCATACCGAACCGTCGCGAGCGCAGATTGATACCATTGCATGGAATTGTCCTTCAAATGTCATCAAGTATTTCATCGGTACCAAAGCAATTTCTTGTTTCTTCCAACGATTGTGTGAATTGAACCAAACAGCGTGAATTTTGTTATTATCGTAATTTGCCTTTTTCAACAAATCCTCTATCATGGGTTTTAAAACTGATTTATCAATATCTTTCATATTCGCCAATCTGACCTCAATCGGATCCTTGTTCGTCACTTTCGCAATATGCTCCATTAAATTCTCGATCATAGCCACTCCTTCCGCGGATCCTGATGCCTGACAAAACGTATTTGACGGTAAATCGGTTCTCACGTCGAATCCGTTGAACGTCCAAGTATCAGTTAAATAGCAGCTTCTAACGATAAAAAATTGTTTGTGAATAAAAATGGATGATTAAACACACACAATAGAGTGTTTTCAAAATTGATTCAGTTAATTACCGAGAATTATCTTTATCACTATTAATCGAAGTATTTTTTTAAATTAACGTTAATATTAGGTATTTTTTCCTTTTTTGGAATGTTTCAAATTTCTGTTCAGAGAATAGAATAAAAATAGTTTAATTATATTTTATAGTGTATCTCCTTTTGCTTACAAAATTGCCACTTAATTTCAAAATGATGTGCACAGAAAGTGCAATAAATAAATTTTAATATTAGAGAAGTGTCTTATTATTATATATTATTACGAAAAACTGCTTAAATTTTTGTTTATACTACATGTTGTATTTCAATACCTTTGCATGTAGGAAGCTATCATGGCTGCTTGTGGTTCGTTGAAACTAGAACCGCAATTGCTCCAGTGTTTCGAATTGAGATACTGTACAACTCCGTCATTGTTCACTCCGATCTTATATTCTTGACGAGTAGAACATCTTTTGCCTATCGATTGCATATTGCTATCCGTCGTCATGATGAATCGCGCTGGACGCCTCAGTATGTGACATACCAATGCGCAAGCACATGAAATTTGCGCGTTGCGTGAGATTTTTGAACCGTATGAACCGCCAAGTCGATTGACATGCACATTGATGCTTAAAAAATTATATTCACAAAATTAGTGTTAAGTTAATTTACAAAATGCATTTTTCTAATATTATTTTATTTACTTATCATTGCTTATTTAATTTATTTTATTTTATAAGAAAAAATAAATAATTTAATTCTTATTCTATAATATTATTGATAATTTCAATGATATTGATATTGACAATAGAGACATTATTGAGACATTATTAATCACATTAGTTCGATGCTATATATTGTTGAATAAGGGTGGTTTTGTGTAATGATAACTTTGTTACATTATGTGAAAGTGCATACTTTATAATTTGTGCAAACATTACATAATTGCAGCGGAAATATTATAAATGTTCTATTTTAAAGAACTAGTGTTTTTACTTCTATTTGTATAAATATGACTTTATATTCGAAAGATAATTATGATAACAATAATGCATTGTATAGTTCTATGTAAATGTTCTAATTTTTGTAATATGTATAATGTAGGTACCTATGTAGGTGATATTACACACAATATTAAATTTTCGTAAGTATTTTATTTTCAACTTTACGTATGTGAATAAGACATATTTTTAATAGTGGATTTCAAAAATATCTCACTATAATTGTCATAGTTTTTATTGCTATTACAGTGTAATTCCATTTGGACTAATATAATTACTTTTGACACAAAAGAGATTGACTCGATAGATTAATAAGTTACCTATTATTTTGAACATTAAGACAATTAGCTATCGATACTTGAATGAGATCCATCCATTGTGACGATGGATAGACGTCTATATCGTTCTCTACTGGAACGCACACGCAGGATTGAGTCTCAAGGGTATGGTGATATTGGCCACCGCATTGAAAAACGCCCTTTATCACGTGTTTAATATCGGTTCCTGTAAAACAATAAAAAATGATCTCCTTTTTGAACATATTATTTTTATTTTTAAGATAACTATTCATTTTGGCGAAGTTACCTCTATTGAATATGACCTTGACGTAGAGTGTCAGATTTAATCTAGATAAACCAGCACATTCCTGATTAAAAAGTTGTATAAAAATAGGACACAGATACTCAAAAGTAGGATAAAAAGATGACACATTTTAGGTTAAATACAGGAAGATACATTTTAGTTTAAATTGTGGTACAAAACAAGTAGTATATTTTAATTCGGAGGTAGAAGAAAAAGTACATAAATATAAAAATTCTTCTTACGTTAAAAACATGTATTTACAAAAAAACGGCTTCAATAATACTTAATAATATTTAAATATGTTATCACAGATACATATATAGTAATGATCTAATTATTAGTTTAAACACTTATATGTATTTTATATGTGCTTTATATATGTGTGATAAGCTTAATAACTTCTGTTCCCCTCGCTCTCTCTCAAAATAAGTACAAAAGAGAGTAGGTGCACTCCGGACACGCTGATTTTATTAACGCGATGCCAAATTTAATTTAGTATTGGCACAATTATTTCTTAAGTAATTACTAATTATTTGTGGGTTAGAATAAGTGTATGATATTAACATTTCACTACTTCCATAGTTCGTATCGGTATTAATTTCTATTTATAATTATCCTTCGATTTTATTTTCTAAGAATTGAACAGTTTTAGATAATTATTTATATTACAGCATAAAAATTAATAGACGATTATGTTTTGTTGATTCCATAGGAAAACTGTATATGTGTCTATTGAAGATGAACTTGCAAATGTGTATTAACTAAGAGTTTTACGGAAGAGTGGTTCAAGTAACTATTTCAAAGAGGAATATTTGACTCCAGAATTCAATAGCTGATCGAGAGCTTTCCAAGACACCATAAGAAAATATTTTTTCATTAAATAATTTTTGAGTTATGACGCGTTAAAGTTACGGTACCACCGGCATTAATATTACGCATGGTGCCCGACCGACGGCTAAAACCTCTTAATTGTTCAGGATAACATTCGTTAAGATCAAGGTTATTAGAGATTGTTTCTCTTATTTTTATTTTTGCACTGAAAATTCATTTTTATGAGATATTCCAGTGTGCCGACACCCTGTATAAAATTGCTAAATTGCAGGGAGTGTTAAAATGTCAACAAGGATTATTACGTTACTGTTAGTGTCCATGAATAGCACCTTTTGCAGTCGGCCACGTACTGTTGTCATTTATTTCAAGTATGTAATCAGAAGTTCTATCTTCATTTGTTAGCAAGTACGTGTGTGTACTTTCAGAATTTAACTTTGTTGCATAAACATCAAAATTGGTCGGAATTAACTTCCCAGATATAGGTCATAATAAGAACAAGATGATAATACGAACAAGGTATCCTGTTAAAGTCATATTAGGAAGTATCATGATGTTATTCGACATACTTTTAACTGGTTCGTCATAAATTTATGAATTGAATTTATTCTTGAGAAGATTTTAGTTGAAGAATTTTTAGAACTTCTCAAGAACATTTTTTCGTTAAATTCAACTCTTCATATAAAAGTCACAAAAATCATACTCTCAAGAATTAATACAAAATC